CTACCACCACCCACCGACCCGACCCGACCCACCCACCCACCCACCCACCGACCACCACCCGAACCAACCGAACCGAAACCGAACGAACGACGACGACGAGAGAGAGAGAGAGAGAGAGAGAGAGAGAGAGAGAGAGAGGATTACAAGCTCACCATATTGCAGGTGAACATGTATGCATCAGATCCTTTTCACTGGCGCACCACTCACTGCCTTTATACTTTGAGCATCTCTGAAGCAAATAAAATGCACGAGTGTAGTACCATTGGGGTAGACTGCAAAAACGCTGCTCCCTATCCTCTTGTTACACAGTGAACATATGCTTTCACTGCTAATCTTAACCATCCTTTTCCTTTCTTTGTAGAGATCCTCCTTCACCTGATACCCATTCCACATACAAATCCTTAGATAACGTCATCAGGAAATATTTCTAAAACGGGTGGAAGTAAGGTACAAGTACCAGAATAATGATAAATCTTTTGAATCGATACATACCTGCAAGTTCTCACTTTGTCTCAGGCTATTGATTACTGCAAAGTTCCGCCGACCTTCACTGGATTTTTTTAAAAGTGGCTCAAGAAACGGAAGCAAATTCTGTCAATATAAATACTTGTTTGTATCAGTCAATGGGGAAAAAAACAAAATTCTCTCTAATGTTCTCTCTCTCTCTCACTCATGTTCTTTACGACAAATAGCTCTAAATAGAAGAAAAGGTCCCCGGGGCTATTTCAATAGTAGGAGCTTATACTCTGAAGGGAAAAAGGCATACTGACAATTAACAATAAGAGTCATTAGTTTTTTGAAATTCTTAAGATATTAGCTTTTTATTAGTTAATAGATATTATCGTATTATTTTCAGAAAAAGATTCAGAGTAAGAAATCCGAGAAGGCGAGAGAGCCGACTGCCAAAGGCAGGGGCACCAGTAGCACAGCAAGTGGGAGAAGTGATACTGACGGGAATGAAGGTAGTGAGGAAGGAATCAGTCCTATTATGCTTGATGAGGCTTTGGAATTGATTGGTTAGAAATGGAACAGTATCAATAGTGCTCTAGTTGTCACCTACAGAGACTTCTTTTTATGAGTTGCACAGTAATTTTTTTGTTTTTAGTTTTTGTTGGATGACTTTATCCCAGGTGCTTCATGGAAGATTAGAACTTCAACTTTTATAGCTAGTTTGGGTTTTTCAGGATAAATCTCAGTGGAAATAAGTATGGAGAGTATTTTAACAGTAAAATATCCCCACATACACACGAGATTCTTTTTTTCAAAATAAGACGTTATAACCTAGAGCAAATGTCATAACCGTGATCTCATACCTGTAACTTGGTCTGGCTAGGCAAAAGCTTAAGAGCCTGAGCACCATTGATCCTGTTCCATCTTTTACCAAGTAAATCCAGGGCCTCATCAAGCATGATAGAAGTGATTCCTTCCTCACTAACTTCATCCCCCTCAATATCACTCCTCCCACTATCAGTGCTACTGGTGCTCTGTCTTTGGTCATGAGCTCCTTCTATCTCTACAATTTTCTTTGACCCTCGGCCTCCCTTGCCTCTACCAACTCCCCCAACTTTTTGACTAACAAAACTCTGAGATGTAACCAAACTCACAATCTTCTTCTCAAACTCCTTGGTGGTTCTTTTGGGGTTGAGATAAATTTGTAGAAGTGTCAGGTATATGTTAGGAGAAGCTTTCAAATTGGTAGAAGCCTGTTCATAGAAGACACGATCACAGTAGGCCAGTGCCAGTTCAGGTTCGTGAAGCTACACCATCAACAGAAAACCTAGGATTAACAAAAAACAGTGAAGCTGAGAAGGCAAAGAACTGAAAAACCAAAATAAGTATCATATAGTCCAATGGACTACTGTTAATACATGGTAATCCAAGGCTATATCCACCACCCATTTTCATCAAATATAGGTTGGAGATAAACGGGATTGGGGCCCTCATGAACATTAACCTGAATACACATAGTCTTCAACCATCCATCAATGGGGATGTATAGTAAGTGTAGCTTGGAGTACCAAAAACATCAGCCAACCTTGTAAACTAATATATTTAAAATCCCGAACTGTCATGTTTAGAACTGAAGACAGCCCATAGGACTTCTAGGAGTGTGAAAAGTAGAATTTGCTCTGTGGTAAAGTCAATTCCAACTTCTAAGGCTCATATGAAAAGGACATTTATGACTAGCCAACAAAAAAAAAAAACAAAAGAGCCTCTTCGCCTCAATGGTGGGTCTGACTTTTTAGTGTCCATTTCACTAGACAGTGATAACAACATAGTACATTGGGCACAGCATCCTTTACCAACAGCAGATTAGCAATTGATACCTTGTGGACGTATAATATAAGGGCTAGTTGGTGTTGCTGCATTTTACCCAGTAACAAAGCACGCTCCTCGTATAGAGCATCGGTAGGAAGGCGCTTTAAAAGAAGTTCTGGGTCATACGCAGAAGTGCTTTCCAAGAAAGATAATAACTTCCTTCTTGTAGGAGAATACACATTTTCATCCCAGTTTTGTTGAGCCACAAGATCATTATATGACTCGAGTCCTTCTGAAAGATAAAGTTGCACCTGTAAAAAGACAGAACATGCTTACAAATCTTGATTTCAGGATGGGCTTTGGCGAAGTAAAAAAAGAAAGGAAAAAAACAAAACAAAACAAAACAAAAGGAGTATAAGGTGAAACAGCCGAGATCTTAAAATTTTGGAAAATGGATCCAAAATTCTTCAGAATGAGAAGCACACTGATGGTATATCGATATCGAGGTTCCTTGACAATGCTGGTAAAACAAATTTTTTGCAGAATCTTTTAATTGAAAGAAAGCATGTTCCTCCCTTTTCCTAACAAGCTACAAAGACGTATCTCTTTATAGGAAAAGGGACCATTATATGCAACGGAAAGGAGAAATCATCTCACCAGCTCATTTTGCAATTTGGCAGGAATACCATTCTCTTTTAGAGTGAGCATATGTTCCAAATATGTGACTTGCATATGCGGGGCATGCCGTTTTAAGTAGGAAGTCACCAACTCTGGAGGGAGGTTTCCTGACAGAAAGAGCTCAATAGTTTGCTCTGGGCAACTTTCAAGTACAGGCGCAGCATATTCCAAGGTAAGCATAGGATCAATCAAGCTAGGAGTCTGCAACAGAATAACCATCAAAGATTCATCCGAAAAAAATAAAATCAAGGCTATTAAGTTTACCTATACAAAATTCTTAGCCTTTTTCATAATAATATACAGTCCTCCAGTAAAAAATAATTTTGTTCCCTCTGCTATGGTTCCAGGACCCTCCCTAAAAAAAACACACACAATGGCAAACCCATCTTGCCTGCCATGTTTAAAATGGCAAAATCTGTTGCCATTCTCCAGACCATATGTTAGGGATTGAGCGCACCAAATGTTAAAGGACCTCGATCCTAACCATTTGGGGATCTCGATCCCGACCTTTTGGGATTTGATCCCAACCTTTTAGGGATCTTGCTCCCAACCTTAAAGAGTATATATGATCTTAGATAGATTAGGAATATATATATACTCTTCAAAATAGGTATCTCTTTACTTATAACTAGCAAGCAACACATAGTTGCATAAAGAAAATCATCAGTTTAGTTGTTATCTTGTTAAGGTTTGGATTGAGATATAAAACATTGGAGATCGAGCTCCCCAAATTTAAACTCCAGACACCTTAACAACCACTTGCCGGAGTGGTCCGCAAAGTTCAGAAAGTTTCTAGGACTAAGCAAGAGGAAGAGGAATAATGAAGTTCAGAACTTGATCTTAATTGTTCATTAAATAAATGTCAATACTTTTTATTTTAAAATTGACCAAACAGAAACTCAGTTATGATATGTGGAAAGTCTGGATTTCAGTAAATTTTCCTCTTCAAAGAGCACAAAAAACTATTTTTCAGCAAGATCCATTACAAAATCCAAAATCTCAGTTTTGGTAATTATTATTTAAAAATTGTAAACCTTGGGGCAAACTAATGGATGATGGGAATCCATTCAACAACTCAGAGCCAGTTGGGCCTCCGATAGGCCTTAAACATGAGATCCTAGTTTTTCCCAAACTAAAGCACAGTCAAAGTAAAAAACCCATCTCTATTCTCTTCCTGAAAATGATATTGAAGAGAATAATGATGTAAATACCTTCAGATAATCAATGATCATCTCTGGAGTATACTTTCTTCCAAGATTTGGCAGGTTTTCATCGGAGCCAGACTCTTGAATCAGTTGATTAAGAAGTTTAAGAGCCTCACGGTGCATTTCATTACGCTGGTACAGTTCTAACAAACCTGAGTAGAACTTCCGTTGTAAAAGAAATTCTTCACATATTTTGATATCACAATAGTTAGGGCTTTTCATTAATGCCAATGCACTTGATCCCTGCCCAGTATGAATCAAAGCTTGGAGAAGAGCGGTATCTAGAATAGCTACCATCTCCCGAGCACCTGAGCTTTTATGGACATGACCACGATTCTGAGGATCACATGCATCCAGTTAGAAAAAGAAATTTCGTAAAACTACGTAAATACCAAAATCCAATGCATTATGGAAAAAACCATTGTCCACTGGGTCATCGCCATCCATTGGATGATGGATGGTGAATAACAAAGAGCGGGACCAAGCAGGTCCGGACATACCCAAATGTTTTACTAAGTATTGATGGACGTATCGAAACGTTGGAGACCACCATTTACATGAACTGTGATAACCCCATGGGCTATGGTTTCCCATAGTTTAGTCGATTGTAGAATACTCTCCCTCATTCCCATACCTTGCCTGAACTCCTTGACCAATGAGAATCTGGAGATGTGCTAGTCTCTTGCACAGCATATGCAACAACCTCCTCTGTTACCTCAGCAGTGGCCCTTTCAATTATACTGTCACGTTTCTTTTGCAAATACTTGATAAGAGCCATGAGAGAGTTGTGGCTTGTTTTCCTATACTCTAGTGTTGCTTTCTCATCTGATTCCAAGGGTTGGCTATTGGCACTTGATGGAGAGGATCCTTCCATTTCATCTGATGCATCAGATGAAGCCCTAGAGAGAAGGTATGCATCTGAAGCTGATTCAAGTGTCTTCTCTGACTCAGTAACAGATTGGCTTTTAGGAATGTCTATTAATGGATATAAAGAAAGCACATATGTAATGTCAACTGGAGATTTTAAGAATTGTTCCATAGCCTCCTCATAGCTCCCATTGTCAAAAAGATGGTGACCATACCTGCACGAACCCGAAAACAATAATATAACAAGGCAATAACAATTCTAAAACCAAGAACAAGGTTGACAACAAGAATCACTAGCCTGTCCCTATTTCTTGGAAGGATCAATAGTTTAAAGATATTGACCACATAATTTAACTTCATTTAAAATGTTTCAAATGATAAAGAAGAAAATTTGACAAGAGTTAAGATAAATATGTGGTACAATCGAATGCACATTCAATGTAGAAATAGCTTATTTCTTCGAATGGCAATTTTAAACTTGCTACAAATTTACATAATCACTTCTAACAAAAATAAAGGAAATGTACACATCAAGTTGTTGGCACCAGTGATATAACCCAACAAGAATGACCACTTCTACAGTATGGGAACCATGAATATTTATACATTTCGATTTCAACATATGAACATGGAATGTGCAGCCTAGAGAAGGACTATGCTGGACAAGAATTTCCAATTAAATGCTCTCTTCTTTTTTTTGAGAATAAAATTTGGACCATTTCTTTATTTGTGCATGTCATCCTCACAGGGGCCATGCTAATCTTCTCTATATCGTTCCAATTTTATCGGATATCTCCGAAGAGACTCCAATTAAATGCTTTTATAAGAAAAGAAGCAAAAACAAGCCTACAATCATGATATCATAAAAACAGAGAAGTTCTTTAAAATATGCTAGACTTCGGAAAATAGAGGGAAATTCCAATTTCAAGCTTCAAAGATTATGGACTCAAAGACTCAAAGGATGCCATCTTCGGGAGTTTAAAACAAGGATATTTTCCATGCAGGTTCAGTTCCCTCCTGAGAAATATAGAGTCCAACGAACATTTTCATTGGTAAATATCAGTATGGAAGAACTCACCCGAGTAAGTCCGACTGGACACGCCCGAGTCATGTACAGCATGAGTCGTATACAAGCCCAAAGAATGGTAAAAAAGAAAAACAAAACTTGTTGAAAAATTAAAATAGTAAAAGGCAAACTAAATTATAAATAGCCTTAAAAGTCTAAAAAGATGGAAAAACAAAATATAACAGATGGAATACTAAAAAAATTGATTTATAGCTGGAAACAATTACGAAAAATCCAGTAAACGAGGGGAAAATGAAAAGTTGAGCATATGATAAGAAAAACTCGCAAAATCACCATCGAAAGCATTAAATTAAACATACTTAAACATTGATTTAGTAAAAAAATATAATCCTCATAATTTCTATTCTCTCTCTGAGTTTGTACCCTGGACTTGGCTCGGCAAGGTGCCAAGCCCAAGTCAACTCAGCCACGTTTTAAAACCTGTAACTTATCACAGGGGATGGGCTAGCAACTAAATGTAAGTTAAACCTTTGAAGTGTCTCCCTGTTTTTGTTCTTTTCATTTTTCCAATATCGGCTCCTTTTCAAAACCCAAAATTTCAGGACCTGACCTTATGAAAAATGACAGTTTCGGAAATTTCCAATAAATATAACACACCTCCAACATCAAGAAACAGATTGAAGCGCAACTTTTGTTTCATTTCTTATGCAGTTAACCATTTCATGTAAATCATTTAAGCTCCTAAAAGAGAGCAAACGATAAAGGGCCATCGTATTAGAACATTAAAAAAAGTAGTCCATCCGGCCATCACATCAATAGAAGTGATTGATGGCAATCAAGATAGAGTTGGACCCACAGATGGGTTATGTCCTGTTCCAACAGAAACCGCTCTCTCTCCATCACTGTCATCACTCCAATGAATAGTGATGGCCCAATGAACTATGCTCTTTCCATTAGCCATTGGATTATAGCATATAATTTTCCCCATTAGGATACCTTGTGATGATGTCGCACTCACACCAAAATTTGGATGATGGTGAGAGGAATGTTTACCGAATGCGAATTGAACCTTCCTTGGCTGCTCGAAGAGTTGAATCCTCTGGGGGAAGTAACTCACATAAAGCCAAAGCCTCTTCAAAGTTGCTAGATGCTGTTAGTTGTACTATCTATGATCCAAAAAGAAAGGTGAATTACTAGCAATAGGAGAAGGGGACATGAACGAAAGAAGAATAATAAATAAATCAGAAATAATAATAGGCTAAGTACTAGACTGGCACAAGACTCGTAACATGAAAAGGTCTCTAGCTATTAACTATACCAAATATCCTAATGAAGATTATTCATAGTAGATGAAGAAACTAATGAGAGAGTCCTGGGTTAGCTTAAAGATAGAATTTTAAACCAGATAGAGCACGACAGCACTTTAGTTCCACAATTTTCAACCAAAAATTCCACTGAGAGTGATTTCGAAAACCATTGAGTAGCTGACAAAGACAAAATGCTCTCAAAGTAGTAGACAGATCAATATCCAGATCCTCAATATCTACATTAAGTGGGTAAGCTTATTCACATTTGCGTTATATTGTTAACATGACCACCATGGCATTAAATGAGTTTATTCACAGTGCATTGCTCAAAGGACAAACAGATAATCCACAAGGATTCATCCACTAAAAACATACTTGTGCATCAAGCCATGAACCTTAGGTGCATGTCATCTTTCTATCATTAATTATCAAAGAAAGACCACAGCACTAAATGAGTTACTTCATAGCACTGTTCTAAGAAAGACAAAAATGTGCAAAAGGAATTCTTGATGATGTTACCACTAGTAATACACCTGTGCCTTAACCTCATGCTTACTTCTTTATACACTTTTTGTTAACTCTCGAAATAAGGACAGACCTGTGCACCGAGGGGAACAGGTAACAACCCATAGACTGAATTCTGTAAAGTAGCTATCACACAGTGCTTGCTTGAAAGAAGACCACGAGCATCTCGGAGAGCAATTGTTTGAACCAACGGATAAGGAGCTCTAAGAGAACGTATCTGCGATAAAAAAAACAAATCCCAACACAAATGACTACCATGAAAAAACATGTTTAGTATGGTTTAACTATAGATCAGATAATTTCTCCTGAACCAATCAAGGGTATCCACCAAAAATCTAATAAGAAAACAGCAAAGAAAGAAATATATATATAAAAGAAAGAGCAAAGGTACTTATACACCAAGCAAAAGAAAAGTTCAGTTCACCTCAATGTGCCTTGGTAAACGAGCAACTGCATACTGCATGTGGATTGCAACAGATCCAGGAGCATCAGACCAACAAATCCTGCCTTCTGGCAACACCTTCCCATTTTGGTCGAAGAGAAATCCAATGTTATCCTGGTATATTCATAAAAGCTATCAACTCATACACCAACGGAATTGTAAGATTTCTATTGTGAAAAGTTTCCAAACAATGGAACACATAAGAAGGCAGAGCAAAAGCCAAATATTTTTAGGGGAAATTAACAGTCTGTATTGAGTAAGATAAAAAAACTATCTACATTTTGCTGCTGTATACGCAAAATTGCTTATGTAACAAAATCCTTGTACAAAATTGGATGGCATAGCAAACCAGCCTGGGAGCTGACCAAGCAGTCCGGGGTGGGAGTCTATAAGTTATTGGGATAAGAGCAGGATCAAGATCAAGATCTGGGGATTGTAAGAGGTTAGAAGGCCCCTATGATTGGGGCTGTCCATATGATGAACGAGATCCATTGAGGATCCCTTTCCTGGTGCACAAGAGCAAGATTCCATAGCAGAATTGCCACCTCAGTTGGGAGATACAGCAGTTATGATTCAGAATGACCAACTGAAAAATCTGTCTCCCCTTGTTCTGCTAATTGTAAGCCTTCACATTAGCTTCTCTCCCCAATGTTTAAAAGAAGCATTCAACGAGCTGATGATAGCTAGGAGGTCAAATAGTGGTTTGTACGAACGAGCGTTGATGTCACTCTTGCACCCCAAGAAATTACATTTTGAGAATCCCCTCCACTAAAACAGAGAACCCCCAGCTGTTATCAAACAGTTTTAAGCCTTCCAAAAGAGCTCGAGCCTCAGAAATGGTAGTGTTTACAATCCAATAGGACCTGAGATTATGAACATACCTGGGATGAGCTTTCTCAAACAGTCCCTTTATCCCTGCCAAGGCCGGGATTGCCCAGTGAACAGCCATCAAAATTACCTTGACAACGCCCAGACAAGGAACGTACCAATGGCTACTTCATTGCTGGTTGCACATGGGCTTTGAAAACAGTATTGTCACTAAAATTTAACATGAAATCCTCCATAAAAAGAAAGCAGGATTCCTTTTGATTCCGCTCCCAAAAAATTACTTTAGCCAAGATGTGATCAAGCACTTTCTCTGCTTGAGCCATTCGGCTATCAAAAATGTGACTATCATCTTCCAACCAGATAAACACATTGTAGCCAGGACCATTGCCCTCCAGAACACGAGGCCCAAGGTAGGGAAGGGAGGGAAAGATGGGCCAGAAACAGCTGTTCGGCCAACATAGGAACCATCCCAAAATCATCCAAACCATTTAAGTAGTCTAGACAAAATTTTACCCTCTTCCAAGCAATGTAGGAAGAGATGATCTATAGTTTCTTCCTTGTTGCACGTGTTGCACTGATTAGGGAATGAAATACATCTACATTGAAACTGATCACACGTGTGGGCCTTTAGGAGAGCACTACCCAATTGAAAGATTGAAGTTTTGGTGGTATGGGGGAAAGCGCAGGCCAGCAGCAGTGTAGAAATGGGATTATGGGCAAGGAAGTTGATGGGGGGAAATTGATAGAACAGTAAAAGTAGCAAGGAGAAACCCTAGGGTCTCTTCCTCACGCCCAATGTAGGTTCAAAAGCCTGGAGCTTTATACCAAATTGATGTAGAAAAATTGAAGGAGCAATTAAAAATCAGCAATAATGGAGAAAAAGCATGACTATAAATCAAGTCTAGAGAAGAACTTTTCTTACATAAAATAAAATTCATACGAATAACATAAGCATCCCATAATGTGACATTCAGCCTTTTATAAGCCTAGGTAACCCTAAAATTAACTTAAGATCCCAGTAAACAATATTATACTCTAAAACATCCCTAAACAATATTAAAAATCTCAGAGATACCCATGTAAACTGTAACCTATGATCAGCACCAATGAATAGGATCTGTAAACAGTACCCATGAATAGTAACTAGTGAATAGTAAAAAAAGAAAAAAAAAAAATAGAACTAAGTGTTGAACACTAACCCCACATTATAATTCTTACAAAATTAACCCTAATAATATGAAATAAAAACAAACACCCACATTCATGAAAATTAAAAAAATAAATAAATTAAATTTTTGAATCACCCAGATCTTTATATCCGTCATTCTCCCCCAGTTGGAGAAAACTCACCCACAAGTTTTTAAATCAGTTAGTAAGAATTCTCCTCTAAACACAAGGTCTCTCTCAGCCCGAATATTGCGCATTGTCATTTGGGCTTGATCCATGAACTATGGGCTACGGGCCTTATCAAAATAGCCCCAAACAAGTTGCTAAGGATTTTGGTTCACCCAACTTTAGTAGCCTACCTTTGTGGGGATGGAATACTCTAATTGGAAACAAGAAAGATCAGCCCTACCATTGGTGAGAGAAAAGAGCTCTGTATGATCGCTGCGTCCTCTTTTACCTCTTCACCATCGCCACTATCGTAATCTTTTTTTTTTTACCACCACTATCTCAGTCGTTACCATCATTGCAACAACGATCACCATTGACTGTAACTTGTTCTTCGTCATAAATAAGAACTCAAAGTTCTTCATTTTCATCCAATGGTCCACCAAAGATATGATCACCTGGCTCTTATCAAAAATAGGATCATTATCAAAGATAAGGGCAATACAAAAGAGAGGATCATCCATTGATTCAAAGAACATTGAATCCAATTGAAGATTGGATCCTTGGTCTCCTTCAAAATTATGCTCTTGTAGATACCATCGTGTATCAAACCATCTACATAACTTAACATGTCATCAGTCCGTTTCCACTCAGTCTCGGACACTGATTCGCACCAATCTCCACGAAAACCCTCACGATTTGGATCTATCCCTATAGATTCCTCTTCATTTAGGGCACATTGTTGCTAGTCTCGCTTACGCAACAACTGTGTAACCCTCTCCATCAAGTTATTGATTTTCTTGCACAATCGTATCAAATCAGCATCCCTATAGCTAAGACTCCCACAATCAGCCATTGCAATCTCTAGCCATCTTCAAACCGAGCTCTGTTACCATGGTTTTAAAATGCGGCCGCATCATGCGGTATGCGGTGGGCTCCGCATTAGAACTGATCGCATATGCGCTTTTGACCTATGCGGCCGCGTATGCACCACATCGTACCTGCATCCCGCATCACACCACATCCCCTTCCGCCGAAATTTTTTTCAATTTTGCCTCTCGGGGAGGGGCAAAATGGTCTATTTGACCATCCAAAAATGGGGAAAACTGTTTGGGGGGTATTAAATCCCCAAAACGATGATTTTCAGCCACTTTTGTGACTTTTTTTCCATCAAATAGAGGGAAAAAAAATATTTGGCGGAAATTTATTTTTCATTCAAAATTGACTCCTAAAATGGATGATTGTATTAAGTTATTAACTATTAACTCTTCTTGAGCTTGACTTTTGGTTTGTAATATCACTGTTTTGTGCTCATGGTTGTTGATGGTTGTGCTTTTGTGCTTATGGTTGTTGATGGTTGTGCTTTTGTGCTTATGGTTGTGCTTATGGTGTAAATTTGTGCTTATGGTTGTTGATTGTTGAATGTTTTATGAAGCTGGTTTCAAGTTTCTAGTTCCTATCAGGGGATAGTGGATAACTGGATACAAAATCTCCGACAGCTAATAATTTTGAAGTTAATCATTAAACTAAAATACCTACTATCACATATATCACCTCTATATTTTTTTCTATGCATTAACCCATTTTTTTAGATTTTTTTTAAAAAAAATACAGTTATTGACCCCATCGTCGCGACGCACCTGCATCCGAGCCACATCGCGCCGCATTGGCCCCCCCACTGATTTTGGCCACATCCCGCATTTTAAAACACTGTCTGATACCACTTGATGCAGGAAGGAAAGGTGGAAAATTAAATCTAGCTTTTTCCCGATCCTCAAACAAATAAAATTCAGCAATAAAAGAGAAAAAGCATGGCTATAAATCAAGCTAAGAGAAGAACTTTTTTCTTTCATAAAATAAAAATTATTTTAATAACATAAGCTTCCCATAATGTGACATCCCACCTTTTATAAGCCTATGAAACCTAAAATTAACTTAAGATTTAAGTAAACAAAATTTAAAACTCTAAAATACCCCTAACGTTCATTCCAATAACACAAGTCCCAAGATGTGACATCCTACCTTTCCTTCTGCACCAATTTGGTATCAAATCTAGTTCGAAGATGGTTAGAGATTGCGATGGATGATCTTAGCCTTAGGGATACCGATCTCATTCAAATGCGTAAAAAACTCTACTTGACAGACAGGGTACATAGTTGTTGTGCAAGAGAGAACAACAACAGTGTGCCCTAAACAAAGAGGTCTATACAGGGATAGATCCAAATATTGAGGCTTTTTATGGAAATTTGTGTGAATCTAAGCCCGAGTTTGAGTTGCAACAGACCAATAATAGCATGTCAAACTACAGATGGGTTTGATGCGCGATGGCAATGATGGGAGAATAATTTTGAAGGAGAACAATAAGGATCCAATCTTCAATTGGTTTAAATATTCTTTCAATCGACGGATGGTCCTATCTTTGATAGTCATCTTATTTTTGATAAAGAATCAGGTGATCATGTCTTTGATGTTGATCCTATTTTCGATGAACCATTGGATCAAAACGAAGAACTTAGAGTTCCTATCTAACAAGTTGCAGACGATTGTGATGATTGCCCAACGATGGTAATGATGGCGATAGTGGTGATGGCGAAGAGGGGGCAACAACTATGACCAACTCTTTTCTCACACCAATGGTAGTGCTGACCCTTCCTATTTCCATTTTGAAGATTCCACCCCACAGATACATGCTACTACAGTTGGCTGCACCAAAACCTTCAACAATTGATTCGAGGGTATTTTTAATCAGACCCACACCACAATTCACAGGTCCCAGAATTAAGCCCCAATATCAATGTGCACTATCAAGTTAAGAGAGACCTTGTGTATAGAGGAGGATTTGTATTAACCAATTTCAAAACTTGAGGGTGACCATTCTCCAGCCAAGGGAGAATGTTGGAGATCAAGGGTTGGGGATTCAAAAAATTTATTTTATTTTTAAATTTTTATTTTCA